CAGGGTGACACATGCCTATAGTCCTAGCTTCCTAGGCTGAGGCAAGGACTGAGACTGCAGTGAGCTATAATTGCACCACCTCACTCTAGGTTGGATGACAAGGTGAGACCCTGTCTTTAAAAAACAAAATTAAATAAGAGAATTTTTTTAAAACGGGTGGTGAGTCACATTTGGCCCATGGGCCATAGTTGCCTGACCCCATGGTAGATGATGGAGGTGGTTAACGACAGTTGATCAGTTGCACATGAGTGAGGAATGGGAGTCCTCAGAGCTAAGGCCTGGGAATTAGAATTAGCAAAAACAACGTGTGTTATACACCTGCTATATACTAGGCACAGTAATAGTCTCTGTACAAATGTCATTTAGTTCAGCCTTCACACTGTGGTGTGTTATTCTCTGTATTTTTTTTTTTTTTTTGAGTTGGAGTCTCACTCTGTCGCCCAGACTGGAGTGCAGTGGCACGCTCCCAACCACCGCAGCCTCGGCCTGCTGGACTCCGGCGATCCTTCTGCCTCAGCCTTCCAAGGAGCTGGAACTACAGGCATGTGCTACCATGCCCAGCTAATTTTTTGATTTATTGTAGAGATGAGGTCTCGCCAAGTTGTCCAGGTGGGCCTCAAACCCACGGGCTAAGGTATTCCAGTCACCTCGGCCTCCCAAAGCACAGGATTACAGGCTGAGCCACCAAGCCTGGCTATTCTCTGTATTTTATAGATTGAGAAAACAAACTCAAAAAGGTGAAGTGATCATTCAGAGTCATACACTAATGAGTGGCAGAGCCTGGGTTTTTAAGCCAGTCTCTAGCTCCAAGCCTAAGGGTTCCTACTTGACACCCTGAAAGCCCTTGTCACTGACCATGGGCATCCCCCTCCCACCCAGACTCTCATGAGAAGAGGATTAGGGACTGCTAAGTCCCAGAAATCCATGTCAAGGACTGGATTTCCACTGTCATACCATAAGAGGCATTAGGAAATACCCTTGATTTCATGCATAGAAAACCCTGCATAAGCACCTGGTGCAGAGTAGAGTACAGTAAATATTAGCTATGATGAATAGGAGAGATGATTTTGAAGACAAGGCTGACTGAAGCCCAGAGAATGTCAGGGCACCTCCTGGATTCCAGAGGACTCCTTCAACTTCTTGGTCTCATTTTCTCAGCCACAGCCCTGCTCTGGGATAGATGCAGCCTTTAATAAAGAGTGCTTCTTAGCTGGGTGCGGTGGCTCATGCCTGTAATCCTAGAACTTTGGGAGGCAGAGATGAGAGGATTGCCTTAGTCCAGGGGTTCAAAACCAACCTGGGCAGCTTGGTAAGACCTCATCTCTACAATAAATCACAAAATTAGCCAGGTATAGTGGTACACACCTGTGGTTCCAGCGACTTGGAAGGCTGAGGCAGAAGTATCACCTGAGCCCAGTAGGTCGAGTCTACGGTGGCCATGAGCGTGCCACTGCACTCCAGCCTGGGTGACAGTGAGACTCCTACTCAAAAGAAAAAAAGAAGAAGAAAGTGCTCCTGCCTCCCCCCAGTTCCTGGTCCCTAAAGCCCAAATTGTTTTCCCCACTCGTGGAACATAATTAGTAAGTACCTAGGCTGCCCCCTACTTCCCACAGCTCGATCATATGGTACCAGGATACTGTTAGAATCCCAGTAGCTGGATCGTGAGTGGGCTCTCTGGAGAACTTTGGCAGCATGGGCCAAGAGCCCCTAAGATACCATAGCCACAGAGCACTGAACCAACAAGGCTTCAAGCCGTCTTCCTACGATGATACATGAGTACCCAGACTGAAGTCTGTCTGTGTAACTCTAAGGCCTATCCTCTTCACCTCTTCTTCATATAGGATCTTGCCTGCATGAGTGCAGGCCTGTCCCCCTCGTTCGCCCTTACCAAATACTATTGATTCTGTCTTTAAAACTGAACTTGAATCATCTTCTCTTCCTCATCCCACTCCCACAGTCCTGGTCCAGGCAATCATCTCTTGTACTTCGATCCCTGCAAAAACCTCCTGATTGACCTTCTCACTTTCAGTCTGCTCCTCCCCAGCCCAGCAGCAAAGTGATCTTAAAGCGCACATCAGATCACCTCAGACTCCTCTTAAGACTTGTTAGAGACTTCACATTCACCAAAATAAGATGGTAGTTTCTTTCCAGCTTACAGGATTTTTTCATTTCCCATATCTCACTTGATTTGTACAACAGCTCTTGGAGGAGGCAAGTCAGGCTGTTCTTGCCAGTGTCATTTACATATTAGAGTGACTGAAACTCAGTGACTCAGGAATTTGCTCCTACCTGCAGAATAGCAAAATCAGGTTTGACTTCTTCTTTCATGCTTTTGTCTGTTATACCACCCTAGTCAACCTGCCCTGGGTGAGAAGAAAGAGCACTACGTAGGAAAAAGGGGGCTTTTCGCCATTCAGTGTGTGTGATGTTAGCTAAAAAATAAAAATAAAAAAAGTTTCTAGGCCAGGTGCGTTGGCTTAAGCCTGTAATCCCAGCACTTTGGGAGACTGAGGTGAGAGGATTGCCTCAGCTCAGGGGTTTGAGACCAGCCTGAGCAACTTGGTGAGACCTCGCCTCTACAATAAATCAAATAAATAAATAAATAAATAAGCCAGGCATGCTAGTGCACTTGGTAGTTCCAGCTACTTGGAAGGCTGAGGTGGAAGGATCACCTGAGCCCAGCAGGTTTATGCTGCAGTGGCCATGAGTGTGCCACTGCACTCCAACCTGGGCAACAGAATGAGACTCTGACTCAAAAAGTTTCTAGGCCAGGCACGATGGCTCATGTCTATAATCCCAGCACTTTGGGAGGCCAAGGTGAGAGGATTGCTTGAGCCCGCAGGTCCAAGATGAGCCTGGGCAACTTGGCAAGACCTCATCTCTACAATAAATCAAAAATTAACTGGGCATGGTGGCACATGCCTGTAGTTCCAGCTACTTGGAAGGCTGAAGTTGAAGAATCACCTGAGCCTAGCAGGTCAAGGCTACGGTGGCTGTGAGCATACCACTACACTCCAACCTGAATGACAGAGTAAGACTCCAACTCAAAAAAAAAAAAAAAAAGCTGCTAAAAAAAATAAAGGAAAAGGGGGGCTTTCTCAGCTTCTCCTGCCCTGGTGGTGATGTTACTACTGTCTTACCCTCCAATTGCAATAGTTTAAGGTCATCAGCCAACTGCACCTTGGCATTCACTAAATCTCATGGTAACTCAGAGAGGCAACTTCTCTGAATTGCTCCTACCACCTTTGTGAATTTACCTTGTATAATTATCATGAAGACTCAAAGACATTAAAAGGGACTTGTGGATTTTCCTTTTTCTCAAAGCATTACTTGAAGTTTGCTGTCCTAGATGCCCATTCACCGAGGAGGGTGGACTGGGGTGGGATGACTAGAAGTTCCTTCCTCACGATTCTGGCTTCATCAGGAACCTGGCGGACTGAGGCTGTGTTCAGCGAGGAAGCACTGATCGGAGTTCCAAGCGACATCCCTCTTGAGAGTGCTGCCACCCTAGGTGTCAACCCCTGCACAGCCTACAGGATGTTGGTGGACTTCGAGCAACTGCAGCCAGGTAGGATCTTGCAGGTCAGGGAGCAAGCCAGGGTTTGGAGTGCCACCTAAATCTTGACCCTGAGGCCCTGGAACGTGCCAGTGAAGGGACTGGGAATGATGGCCCCTAACCTGGATGAGTGCGTTGTGGTTGCCTTTGCTTAGAAAGATATTAGCTAGGTTCCTAGAAAACAGGAGAAGTATGCCCTTGAAAACTGCTAAAGAGTCACATTCCCTAGAGCTTGGGATGGAATTCTGTCATTCAGCAAAAATGTGCTGAGCTGTGCTAAGCTCTGGGGATACAAAGCCAGGCAAGATAGACACAGTCCCTGTGTTTTCAGTAAAATGCTGAACTTAGTGTTAATAATTCCACTCAGCATTTATATAGCACTTTACAGTTTACACAAGTGCCTTTATAGGCATTAGCCCCATTGAGTATATTAAGTCTTCAAAGCAGTGCTGTAAGGTTGGTATGGTCACTGGCTAGGAGCACACGCTCTAGGAAGACAACCTGGGTCTGACCTCAAGCTTCACCTTCCCCATAAATGGGGAAACCGAGGTCCAGAGAAGTCAACTATTTGCTTGAGATCACTCAGCAAGTAAATGTACACAGCCAGGTGTTTTATTGGAGTTCCTCTGGGAGCAGAGCCTGAGTCCAGGACTGAGGTCAGACAGTTCATTTGGGAGGTAATTGCAGGAAGCAGGAGTGAGGGAATTGGGGAGCAAGGTGGGGGTGGAGGCAAAGGCCATGAAGGCTGGTAACTGCTGTGGGCACCTACTGCTCAGTCCTGCTGGAACCCTCTGAAACCCTTATGGAGCCCACTGGAGAAGAGAGGTTGGGCCAGTTTTCTACCAACTCTCATCCCCCATCGCTTGAGGTTTGCCCCAGGGGGCATTAATCTCCCTGGTTGCCCCTGTACACTTTGCATATCCATGAGAAATCACCCAACTTCTCCCTCTCATGCCCCTGAGGAAACTGAGGCCAAGAGCGTCTGGAGTATGATGAAAGTAGGTGGCCAGCCACTGCCCAAGGCCTGGCCGAAAACCAATCCCAGCTTCCTATAAAGAGAAACACAGTTTCTCATAGCTATGGCAGAAGGTCCTGGGAGCCTTTGGTGGAAGAAGCCAGCAGATGTGACCGGGGACCTGTGCTGGAGTCCTAGTGCAGGTGACACTTTCGTCACCTGCATCTCACCCCCTAAAGCCACTTCTGGTTTGAGCTGCAGCTGCAGTTGACACATGTGGTCATTCTGACGCCACCCACTACGAGTGCCCAGTGTGCTTCTCTCTACTTTCCTACCTCAGGGATGTTGTGGCACAAACTAGGTCAGTGTTAGACAAACCTAGATCCCAACCCATATTAAAAATTACGTGCTTTCGGGTTTTGGCTCTGCGGAGGCTCAGGTGCAACTTTCTTCGGTCGTCCCGAATCCGGGTTCATCTGACACCAGCCGCCTCCACGATGCCGCCCAAATTCGACCCCAACAAGATCAAAGTCGTATACCTGAGGTGCACCGGGGGCGAGGTCAGCACCACATCTGCGCTGGCCCCCAAGATCGGCCCCCTGGGTCTGTCTCCAAAAAAGGTTGGTGATGACATCGCCAAGGCAACCAGTGACTGGAAAGTTCTTAGCATTACAGTGAAATTGACCATTCAGAACAGACAGGCCCAGATTGAGGTGGTACCTTCTGCCTCTGCCCTGATCACCAAAGCCCTCAAGGAACCACCGAGAGACAGAAAGAAACAGAAGAACATTAAACACAGTGGGAACATCACTTTTGATGAGATTGTCAACATTGCCCAACAAATGCGACACTGGTCTCTAGCTAGAGAACTCTCTGGAACCATTAAAGAGATCCTGGGGACTGCTCAGTCTGTGGGCTGCAATGTTGATGGCTGCCACCCCCATGACATCATAGATGACATCAATAGTGGTGCGGTGGAATGCCCCGCTAGTTAAGAAGCAAAAAGTAAATATATTTCAATAAAAGGTCATTTGACAACTAAAAAAAAAAAAAAAAAGAATTACATTTTACAGCTGGGTGCAGTGACTCACGCCTGTAATTCCAGCACATTGGGAGGCAGAGGTGAGAGGATTGCCTGAGCCCAGGGGTTCAAAGCCAGCCTGGGCAATTTGGTGAGACCTTGTCTCTACAATAAAACAAAAAAATTAGCTGGGCATGCTGGTGCATGCCTGAGTTCCAGCTACTTGGAAGACTGAGGTGGAAGGATCGCCTGAGTCCCGCAGTTTGAGGCTGCAGTGGCCATGAGTGTGCACTCCAGCCTGGATGACAGAGTGAGACTCCAACTCAAAAAAAAAAAGTTTACATTTTACATTGTAATCCAGTATATCCATATAGGAATATACGAGAGGGAACCCCCAAAATATCTGGAATTATTTTTTGGAGGGCAGGCCCCTTGTAGTACACTCAGAATTTGTTCTCTGAATCAGTCAACCAGAGTTTTTATCTAGAAGTTTTGAGGTTGTGTCACGATTTGCGGAAGAAATGTCCCAAGTTGTGGCAAACAGATGACTGGTTCTTCCACCGTGACTGCACCTGACCACATCACCCTTAGTGTTCAGCAGTTTTTGACCAAAAATAGCATGAAACCCATGCCCCACCCTCCCTATTCACCTGATCTTACCCCAAGCAACTTTTTTTTTGTTTGTTTCCCCAGATGAAAAAAGTTCTCAAAGGGAAACATTTTGCCAGTGTGGAAGAGGTAAAACAAAAAATGGCAGAAGCACTAAAAGGTGTCAAAATTAATGAGTTCAAAAACTGTTTTGAACAGTGAAAAAAGCATCTCAATTAGGTGTATTGCATCAAACGGAGAGTACCTTGAAGGTGACTGAAGTTTAAATATGTAAGAATACATACACAATTTTTTATAAATTCCAGTTTTTTGGGGTTCTTTCTCATATATATAATGGAAACTGAAGTTTCATGGAACAATATCTCAATATCTACCCTTTCTGTGTGTAATGTACTCTGTTATTTTTTGTTCCATTCTTCTCAATTTTAACAGATTTTAACAAAGAAACAAATGCTTGCAACCCACTAAATCAATTCATAATCTTCTAATGGGTAACAACCTGTATACTGAACCTCCCACCCCCAAAGGAAAATGAACATTCTTCTTCCAGGAAGTTCTCTGAATCTAGTTCCAGCCCACTGTGCAGCAGATCCTTGTTGCCTGTCAAAAACCATATAGCATTTCAAAGTTAACAAAGTAATTTCCTGGACACAATGCATTGACTCTAATCGGGGGCACCTTGATTGGTACTCCTAGGACTCCTGTTTTACAGGGAGGAAAGTGAAATTCAAAGAGGCATGATATGCCCCATCTTATTTAGTTACAGTTATTGGTGAAGCTGGAACTCACAACCAGGTCCATGTAGTTTCAGAGTCCATATTTTTCCCGTGTGCTACACTGCCTCTCCATTGCTTAATTCCAAAACTAGACCTAGGTTTTTACCACAAAACTGTCTGTAGAACTTTGTTTCAGGGGCTGCCATTTTCTCTAATCCCATTTCAAGGCAATGTGCCTTTATTAAACAGTACACAGGGGAATACGGCTTGGCCCTTCTCCTCAAGAAGCTGCAAGCTACTGACAGAAATGAACCTCTATGCAACCAAGTTAAGACAGGGCAGACCATGATGTGTGCCTGAATAGAGATGCCCACAGAGTGCTGTGGGGCATATAGAGGGAGGAATCCAGGAGGGCTTCACTTCAGGCTTCACTTGAGCTGTGCTTCACAAGATATGTAGGATTTCAAAAGGAAGGAAGAGAGGAGGGGAAAAAAATAGCAAACCAAGGAAATAACCTAAGCAGAAACTTGAGAACAGTTGGGAAGATGATAGTCTAAATTACGTCCACTGTAGATGCTGAGTTGCCAAGTCCTGGGAGCATCATGGGTGCTGTGTAAGTTTGGGAGACCTTGAGGGAACAGTGAGCAACAGTGCAAGGTTCAGATGAGAGGCTTTTGAGCCTGACTCCCATCCCTTGCCTTATAGAACCAGACTGGGAGCCCTTGACCTACTGCAGATCTACAGAGCTTAACTTGTTTCTCTTCCTGGCTTCACAGGGGATTCGGTCATTCAGAACGCATCCAACAGTGGAGTGGGGCAAGCAGTCATCCAGATCGCTGCAGCCCTGGGCCTGAGAACCATCAACGTGGTCCGAGACAGGTATGTAAGGAGACTTCCTTGCAGTACTTATGTCTCCACCAGATGGTGCCCTTGCATAGGCACAACCTGGCCGCCTGGTTCACTATGTTGAATGTCAGTCGGCATAAATTGGCAGCTGAAGCAGATGTCAGCCCCAAGGAATGAAGTCCAGGTGGCTTTTGGCTATAGGATGAATGAATCTGAAACATAAAGAAGACAGGAAGGAGGTAGAGACTGCCCCTAGTGAACAGCTAAGAAGGTTTTTTTTGGTTTTTTTGTCTTTTTTGTTTTTTGGGTTTTTTTGAATTGGAATCTCACTCTGTCACCTAGACTGGAGTGTGGTAGCACACTCACGGCCACCGCAGCCTCGAACTGCTGGGCTTAGGTGATCCACCTCAGCCTTCCAAGTAACTGGAACTACAGACACATGCCATCACGCACAGTTAAATGTTGTGATTTACCGTAAAGACAAGGTCTCACCAAATTGAGACTGGTCTCAAACCCCCAGGCTCAGGCAGTCCTCTCACCTCCGCCTCCCAAAGTGCTGGGATTACAGGCTGAGCCACTGTGCCCAGCCTAGCTAAGAGTTTTTGAGTCTCTTGACTTGTGACAACTCGTGTTCAGTTCATATTTGGGAATGTTTTGAGCTATAATATTCTTTCTGGGAACTATGACCCAAAGGCCCCTCTTCCCTTGCATTTGTGTGGTGTAGAACTTTGAAGTGCATAAATACAGATGTGAAGGAGGTAGGACAGGTTTGTCATCTCTCTTTTATGGATAGGGAAACACATTTCAGAGAGGAAGCAGCTTGCTCAGGAAGACACAGCAAATCAGTAACAAATTTAGTTTCCTCACCTATTCCCTTGCCATTGTATCATCCAGTTCCTTTAAGCCTCACTTTCCACAAATGTGACTGTGTCTGTCATGCAAATCCAGTCTTAGAAGGAGAATTGAGAGCCAGTTAGGTGGCTCAGCCTGTAATCCTGCAGTTTGGGAGGCTGAGGTGAGTGGATTGCCTGAGCCTGCAGGTTCGAGACCTGCCCGGGCAACTTGGCAAGACCTCATCTCTACAATAAATAAAAAAATTAGCTGGGCATGGTGGCATGTGCCTGTAGTTCCAGCTACTTGGGAGGCTGAGGCAGAAGGATCACCGGAGCTCATCAGATCAAGGCTCTGGGAGCAGCCACTGTACTCTAGTCTGGGTGACAGAGTGAGACTCCAACTCAAAAAAGGAGAATTGTGCTGGGAACAGTGGCTCATACCTGTAATCCCAGCACTTTAGGAGGTGGAGGCAAAAGGCCTGAACACAGGGACTCGAGATCAGCCTGGGCAACTTGGTGAGACCTCATCTCTACAAAAAATTAGCTGGGTGTGGTGGCATGTGCCTGTAGTTTCAGCTACTTGGAAGGCTGAGGTGAAAAGATCTCCTAAACCCAGCAAGTTGAGGCTGCGGTGACCATGAGCATGCCACTGCACTCCAGCCTGAGTGACAAAGTGAGACTCCAACTAAAAAAAAAAAAAAAAAGAAGAAGAAGAAGAAGAATTGATACTCGTTCAGTTCCTCCTCTCCTCACTTGTCCTGACAAAAATTCTGTTTGCCTTAGCCAAAGAGGCCCACAACCACTCCTGGGGTAGAGTGTGTTTGCACAACACTATGAAGAGTCCCTTGGAAAGAAAGGAGAAAGGAAATGAAGTTTGTCATTTCAGTAGAATAAATCAGGAAGTGAAATGACTTCTCCCTGGACACAGATGGTTTCTAGTATCCCTGAACTGGCAAGAGCTGTGAAAACTACCCAGTCTAACTCTCTCATGCCAATGAGGAAACCGAGGCTAAGAACTATTGGAACCTGGTAAAATTAAGTGACTGGTCCCTACTTAAGTCTTGATTTTAACCCAGTCCCAGCTTCCTGCAATAAGAAAGGTGGTTTCTCACAGCTGTGACAGACAGGTCCTGGGAACGTTAAGTAGAGAGGGTCTGCAGGTGTGACTAGGGACCTTAGACTGTGTTTGGTTTGCAGACCTGACATCCAGAAACTGACCGACAGACTGAAGAACCTGGGGGCTGAGCATGTCATCACAGAGGAGGAACTGAGAAGGCCTGAGATGAAAAACCTCTTTAAGGTACCTAGAAAGAGGTACATTACCCCTCCAGTCCGTGTCCTCTCCCCCAAAGAAAGTTGACTTGAATTAGAAAAGCTGGGGATGGGCTCCATTGTTCCTCTCTGAAAACTTCCCTTTGCCTCTTCTCGAATGGTTAAAGTCCATTCCCCTTAGCCAGGGAAAGCACACATTAAGTGCCCAGATGCTGTGTTGGAGGTAAGAGAAACTGCATTTAAGAAACCCTGCGTAGGCCGGGCTCGGTGGCTCAGCCTGTAATCCCAGCACTTTGGGAGGCCGAGGCGAGTG